TTGACTGTGCTAATGCCTGTTGTGATCTGGTTTAAATTTCGCTCCCACTACCTCCTGCAGGAGGTCCACTGTGCCTATAGTATACTCCAAAGAGAAGGGACCAGGTTGGGTGGACAGTTGGGACAAATGGTACTTGTAGTCCTGTGCTCAGGCCAAGGAGGGCTACTTCCTGTCCTGCCTGAGCAGTCATGCTCCACAAAGTCCAGAAAGGTTTTTCTCAGTACCCGTCAAGGTGAGGATGCATGGTGGGCTACAGAGTCTGTCAAATTTGTCATTGACACAGGAGTCCAGAAGAAAATGGTAAGTTAATTCCAAAGTGATGTAGCAATCTTAAATGAGCATTCCTCTGATATTAATTAGCACTGTTTTTACTTTTATGTAAAGGTGTACAATCCGAGAGTAAGAGCTAGCTCAGAGGTCCTTCAACCCATCAGTCAATGCCAGGCAGACATTCGCAAGCAGCTGTCTGGACCATCAGGTATAAGGACGATCTGATATGGTATAATGTCATGTCATCTCCTCACTTGGCAATACTTAAAGCAGTTATCTAAAAAGTTTCTTCTTTGAAAAAATGTAAGCTGCCATCTTTGGTAACTAAATCTGATGCTTCTTGGGTTAGAAACAACAGAAAAGACTAAAGCAGACTGGTTAATTTATCATCCTTTCATTCATTTGGATAATTTTCATACTTGCAGATTTGGACATATTACAATATTAATTAATATTTGGACTTAAGAAAGCCAAAGAAAAAACTTCCCAGCATTATTTTAAAAAAGCAAAATAAACAAACACAAAATTTAAGTGCAACGGTTTTACTGATTTTTTTCCTCTAGGTAAATGCTTCTGCCTGTATCCAGAAGCAAGCCTAACTTCTGCAGAGAACTCCCCACAGATCTTGGAGTCCAACATTACACCGACAGTTCTTTTCCTCAAAAGGATGGAGATAGCAGGCCTTGGACAGTGCAGTTTCATCGACAGACCAGGTAAAATATCTGTCCAGAGGTGTTGCCACTGGAACACATGCAGGACAACAAGAAGTTTTGTTCTTTATTTTAGTTTTTACTGGTTCCCACTAACAGCATCTCTCTCACAACCCAAGCCAAAGATTCGCATGTGGGAGGTTTTTGACTCAGGAAGGGCTCTGTGTAGCTGTTTGAGCCCAGTCATCCATGACTTAGCTGAGCTGACAGCCCAGCTACTAACCATTGTCTGTGCTCTGACCCACCCTAACATGAACAGAAGAGGCCAGCTCATTAACGATTACACAACATGTCTCATGTATTGCAGTGCCAGACGAGCACAATGAAAAGGAAGTCCATGCCAAAAGTGCTGTAATATTTTTTTGAAAATGTGGGACAAAAGGCACTTGCTATATAAATTATATTTTCTCTATAGGAAAGAAATAAAAGCCGAAGGCATTTGATTTGTGATGAGTGTGTCTTTGATTATTCAGATGACACAAGTTGCTGTTGATATTTTATCCCCCTTAATAGATATAGCAATGAAATGTGTGAAATTTTAAAATATTCCATTTGTTGTTGCAGATCCAGAGGGTCTCATGCAGGCACTGGAGGAGCTCGATTACCTTGCAGCTTTAGACGATGATGGCAACTTGTCTGAAATTGGCATCATAATGTCTGAAATCCCTCTGGAACCTCAGATGGCCAAAGCGCTGCTAGCATCCTGCGAGTTTGACTGTGTGAGTGAGATGCTGACAATCACAGCCATGTTGTCAGGTACGTACGTTTTAGATTTTCCCATTCCAGAATTTAAGATTAGTTACAAGTGAGGATCCTTTGACTGGTTTGTAGAATCACCAGGTGGACAGCGTAGTATTGGCTCATCTGCAGTTTCTGATGCTCTTTGGTGAGAGTGGTTTCTCTCAGTGAAGTCGACCTTGTTTGTTGTTGTGTTTTAGCACCAAGCTGCTTTGTGGAGCCGCCTGCTGCCATGAGCCACGAGGCAGTCCAGTGTCACAGGAAGTTCCAGCACCCTGAAGGAGATCACTTCACCCTCATAAACATCTACAACGCCTACAAACAAAACCAGAGAGAACAATGTAAGACTGTCATTGAACAGAACCAATCTATTCTCTTCAAGAGATAAGTCTCATCAGCCACTTCATTATTTATACCTTACAGCTTTATTTCTTCATAGCATTGGTTCAATAAGGTGCTGGAAACATTCCTCTGTTATGTTCAAGGAACAGATTAAAGATGATTTGAGCTTTATTTATTTGAACATTATCCTGCTGGAAGCAGCCAAGATAATGAGCCAGTACAGTGTGGTCATAAAGGGATAGACACGGTGAGTAACAATACTCAAGTAGGCCGCGGCAGTTAAATGATGCTTGATTGGTTGTAAGGGGCGGAGAGTGTGCCAAGAAAATATCCCTTAGACCAGCAGCCTGGACTGTTGATGCAGGGCAGAATGAATTAATGCATTCGTGGTGTTTATGCCATCCAAATGTCAGAGCAGAAACCAAAGCTTAACAGACTCAACATTCCTAGTCTTCCATTGTCCAATTTTGTTGAGCCTGTGCAAATTGTAGCAATTTAGTTCAATTGTTTTTTGCTCTTAAATCTGGTGTGGTCTTCTGCTCCTTCAAAGTTCAACATTTGTGCATTCAGAGATGATCTTCTGCATACCTTGGTTGAATCAAGTGCTTATATGAGTTACTGTTGCTTTTGTATCAGGTCGAAACAGTGTGCCCCTCACTTGTTGTTACTGTTTTGGCCATTCTTTGTAAACCCTAGAGATTGTTGTGTGGAAAAATCCCCATTTTGGCAAAATCAGCAGTTTCTGAGATATTCAGACCAGCCCGTCAGGTATAACAACCATACTACATTTAAAGTCACTTAATCTTTCTTCCCCATTCTGATGCTCGCTCCGAACTTCAGCTAGGTCACCTTGACAATGCCTAAATGCATTGGGCTGCTGCTGCCATGTGATTTGATAAATTAAGGTATTTGCATCAATGAGCAGGTGGTGAAACAGGTGTACCTAATGAAATAACTGATGACTTGATCTTTGTTCTCTACTGTGGTAAATTAAAACTAGATTCAAAGACTGTGTTATCCTATGGGACAGATGTTACATTTCAGTTTCATGAAGAATTATAACCAGATGGATCAGAATAAACTATCTATTCTAAAAATTAACGCAAAAAACAGTTAAAAGAAGACATTAAAAATGTTTTTAAAAAAAGCTAAAATGTGTATGTTAATACCAAATGCATTCTCATTTAAGCCCAAGAACAAACTTTCGATTCCGAGAGGCAAACTGCTTGAAATTTTAGTAAATCATATTACGATACTCTTGAATTAATTAATTAATTACCTCCACATTGTCATTTTTCCACTCAATCTGATCTATTTAAAAGGCATTAGGAATTAAACTGTTTTTACTGTGATAGAAACTTGACGTAAATACTGCTGACCACAGCGCTTCTCTCTCTGTGCATGATGTTTTCTCCCAGATTTGACTACTGAAAAGTGGTGCCAGGACTATTTTCTAGATCATTCTGCGTTGAGGACAGCCGATTCCATTAGATCAGAGTTGACTGACACACTGAACAGAATTGAGCTCCCCATTTCTGAACCCTCCTTTGGAACCAAGACTAACACTCACAACATCAAAAGAGCTCTGCTGGCTGGATTCTTCATGCAGGTACAGAAAAACAAAATGTCAATATCAATGAATTTACCTCCAGCAATTCAATTGTGTTCAAGTTTACGAGGCCTGTTCTTTTCCCAGATTGCTCGAGATGTGGACGGATCAGGCAACTACTTCATTCTTGCACATAAGCACATGGCCCAGGTGCACCCACACTCCTGCTACGGGGCTCAGTCACACAAGCTGGGACTGCCTGAGTGGGTTGTTTTCAATGAGTACATCCTTTCAGAAAACTGCATGAGAATAGTCTCGGAAATTTCCCCGCAAGCGTAAGTCAATTGATTTTTACCCCAAATCCCCATCAGAACAGTTGTGTACAGATTAGAACTGAGGTCTCAAGGATTACCTGTCGTGTAGTGCAGAGGTAAAACAAACATGTTTATTACTGCAGTAAGCATGAGCCATTTGATCTCATTTTAATTTGAATATTTTTAATCTCTTTATCTACACAATATCTTGTGTTGACACAAATGTTTTACATTTAATATTGGTTTTCAAATTTCTCTTTTAGGTTCGTTGAAATTGCACCACTGTACTTCTTCTACAATCTGCCCCCTAGCGAAAGCAAAGATATACTGCAAGACATGTTGGACCCACAGGGATCCAAAAACCGCAAAGAGAAGAAACAGGAAGCTGCAACAACAAGTGGTGACGTAAACAGTGGCTGTGCAGCAGTGACACAGACGTATGACAGATGTATGATTCAGTAAACTGAAAAAAAAATCACAAATTTAGACTGCAAATGCATGAATGCTTGTAAGACATTTGTATAATTAATACAGTAAAGCTTAATTTATTACATTAAATTACTCATGTGTACTACCCAATGTGCTTACAGTGCTGAGAAGGCAAAGATGTCTGTGCTGTAAATATAGAAAAGTTTGCAGTTTAATAGTTGTGATCTAAAAACAATGAGTGAGGGGGTTTTCCGCAACACTGCTTAGGTGTGGACTTTATGCGCACTGTCATTTGATATACCTCACAGGCAAAAAAAAAAATATGTTCGAGCAGAAAGTAATTTGTCTCCTATGTACTTCCCTATTATGCAAAGTTGTAAATGCCAGTATACCTTCACATCCAAGGATCTGATTTTAAAGCTGAAATACGTATGAAACAACTTGCTCAGAATAACTGTGCTTTGCTCATTTAGCTTAGAACGTACATCAAGAAAAGTCTGCTCTTGAAGGGATGAAACACGTAGCTGAATGTTAAAAACCACATACCTACAGTGTTACAATACCACTCATTTGCTCTGTAGCCATTACTCCCATTCTTCAGTTTACCACAACTTAACACCAAACTCATCTCATTTTGAAGTCCTCCTATAAACACCTTTGATATGCAGTTGCATGTAGTTTCTTCCAGTATTCAAGTATGCGATTATTCCCTATGTCTTTACAATTTGTACAAACTGTCTTTAAAATTTCTAAAAATGGGTAAACTATCGCCCTACATATTCTAAATATGAATACACGCATTCCTAAAGTCAACTGTACAAAAATTGAATATACTGAATGTTTTTCAGAAGCTTGAAAGCTGTCACTGTGTCCATAGGTGTCTTGGTTTATTGTGAAGGTCACACTGATAGATATTCTTTGAGTTTCTCCATGATGGCAGGCATTCTGTCTGTGGGTATCAGCATCACAGTCCTAAAAGGCTTCATGGGCACATCCGTAAATGACCACCTCCCACTTAAACAGGAGTCTGCCTCTTCTTGGACTGTGTAGTGGAACTTCAAGATGGCTTGCTGTAAGGCAAACACGGACCAGGCTTGAAATCAGAGTATAAATATATTGAATAGGTTATCAGATGGCTGTTTAAATAAATATTTATCTGAAGTTTGACATGAGTTAACGAAATGCTGTATTATTACCCAGATACTGTTAAGTAAGTAGCCCTGTGTATAATAAATATTTAGTTAAAACCTTGAAATCTGTGCAGGTTTTTTCCCCCCCGCTTTACCTCATAAAAGAATTCCTCCTCTGCATTGACAAACATGTATTCCTCTTTGGGAGCTCCTCCTGTGGCTGGGATGCTCTTGGTCTCTTCTCTACAGGTCTTGCTGATAATCAGGCAGTAGTGGCACCTCCCACTGGGCTTATTTGTCCTCTGAGCTTCAGCGATTTCTTCCCTAAAGGACCGTAACATGAAAATCTTTTAACCCACACAAATGGATGTTTTTCCTAGTTTCTATTAAAAATAAATACAGAATGGAATCATTTCCAAATCTCACCACCATATTTTATTAATAGAACACAAAACATCAAATGTTTCATAAATAAAATAAAAAAAGTATTTTGAATTTGATGACCGCAACATGTATTAAAACGTTGGGATGAGAGCAATAAAAAGGTGGAAAAGTAAGTGGTATTAAAAAGAAAAAGCTGGAATCATTTATAGCCAATTAGGTTAACTGGTAAATATCAGTTCCCAGATGTTCAACAGTTGTTAAGAGGGGATCCTACACTATAGTAATCATGGACCTGTCCCAACATTTAAGATGTGTTGCTGCTAATATATTTCATGCAATACTAAAAAGGTCTCAGTTTAAACATTTGATATATTTCATACATTCTACTGTGAATAAAATGCTGATTTATAAGATTTGCACATGTTCTGTCTTATTTCAATGTTTTCAAACACCATCCTGACCATCTTCTACCTGCTCTCACTCCAATAACAAAACACTAAAGATGGAATGAGAAGGTAAAGCAGAACTTACTGGAGCTGTTTGTGCAGTGGAAGGGCAATCTGTGGAGGCACATTGATGAAGCGCTCACTTAGCAGCAGCCCCACAGGCTTGCTGTTATCATTAAAGATCTTCTCCAGCTGTTCTGTCACAATATGAGAAGCATTCTTCTCACACTGATCCACAATCAGCTCCTTCACCTCCTCCACACATTGTACACCCTGTGAACAGTTCCACACGTAGGTATGACAATTTATATTTAAAAAAACAAAACAAAAAACACTGACATATTCCAGCCCATTCAAGACTAATTCGTTTTAGTTTGCTAGTCATCTGACCTTTCTCTCTGTGAGGTTGAGCATGGTGATGAAGCCAAACACTTCATTTGGGTCGTCATCATCGTCGCTGTCTTCGGGCACCTCAGCTTGCTGGAGCATAGTAGAGAGACAAGTAAATAAACAGCTGCTAAGAAATGAATGTGAATGAGCATGAATATCAAGCTTGGGTTTTAAATGATTTTTTTCCCTGTTCCTTTTCCTGGTGGAATGATTGCACAACATAAATCTTTTAAAAAAGAAAACACTTTGGTGCACAAATTTGAATTTATTCCAGCCTAATGTTGCCATCCACTTTGTACAATGTAGCAATGCTGTTAGCAGCAAAGCAGCTCCAGAGCATCATGCTGCCACCACCATGTTTGAAAGTACCGGTATAGTGTTCTTAGGTTCAAAGGATTCTCTGTGGACAGTGAATTGACGCTGGTGTTCCAGCAGTTTCCAGTTCACGGCTTGAACTTTGGTGGTTCCTGAACATCCAAAACAACTCTCAAAACAACTCATCTCAGGGTGACAGTTTAAGTCTTTGTCCAGATGTTGGCAAAGTAGTCCCACATTCGAATAACTGCTCTAGTATTGCTGTTAAAAATAAACTACCAGTTGTAGTAAATAATGATTACAAATAAGATAAATAGGCCTTGGCCTCATCTAGTCAAGACACTGTATAACCTTCAACACCCCTAATCAAAAATGTAAATAAATGTATGTATATATTTCAGCCCTTTGGTTCCTCATGTTTGCTTCTGATCCCATTTGGATTAATAAAACTCCAAAAGAAATTCTAACATGCACTCCCAAATGCAGTTTTTTTAAGTCATTAAGATGTGTGCAGTATGCATAGTTTGCATTAAGATGAACAGTTCAAAGAAATCACTGAAAGCCCAAATTTTCATGACATATATTTCCTTGATCATGTATGTAAACTTCTGAGCACAGCTGTTTTTGGGTTGAAACTGGAGAAATAAACAAAAATAATGAACAAATCCTTTTTATATTTAACTACCGAGTTACTCACCTTGACGACACTTCCAACATGATTTTGTTGGATGATGATGTCTGTCATCTCTGATGTATTCACATGAGCTTTTAAGAAAAGCTGGATCCAAACATAACAGAAATGACGTCAGTGACAGCTGCTTGCACACAGTATTTGAAACGTGAAATAACAATAGTGAACCCAAACCTGCTGCAGCAGCTTCTTTATGCCGTTGAAGTCATTGTCTGAGATGGTGTGAGCTTCAAAGTCTACAACGACCTCCTGAAAGCGTAGAAGTCGTAATTGCAAGTTTTATTGTAACCCATTCTCTGATTAGTTGTGCGAAACTTTCCGATATGAGATTCACAGGGTTAACTTATTACAGCGTATTCAAGTACAGTATCTTCGAAATAACATTTTCTAGTATATTAGTTATTTCTTTTCTCACATGATTAACCAAAAAAGTATTTTCATGAGCATTCCCGTTCACATTAGCCCTACTGCTGACTTAGCTAACTAGTTAGCAAGGCCATGCCTCCCTTCTAAGACGTGTTTGTTCTTTTACCTCATTAATTTCCTCATCTGACGCCTCACTGTCCTCTTCTCCGGAATCGTCTTCCTCCTCTGGATTCTCATCGGAGCTGTTGTCACTTTCCTCGGGTTTTTCACCAAAACCTACTGCCCTTTTCTTAGCCAATGAAGCCATGCTGCAAACTTAAAACACACGTGTCTACTAAGTGGGCGGGGCAAAGACTAGCAACTATCAGCTACGAAACTAAAACCCTGAAGCCGCCATTATGGCTCCACATATACACGGCTTGCCGCTTATTAAATCCACATTCAGAGCTTCAATGTCGGCTTGTCGCCTGTTGGTGAAATGGAATAAACCATTCTATAAAACGGGGACGAAAATAAATTCAGATGCCCCCGAACTCTTTGTCACGTGTAGTAGATATTAATTTAAATTATTGATACTATATTTTTAAATTAAATAAACACATTCTTGTAATATTACTTGTAATACGATTATTTTACAAGGTTAGTAAATTAGACAGTGTTCTGTCTCCCCTCCTCGACCGTGGATGATGAAAGTCTGAATGAACACTAGAGGTACATAAATTTTGCCTAATATTTCGTCTTTTTCACCGTTTGTACTTCGTGTCACTGTAGCTATACGCGGATAAAATATTCGCTTCTATCACACTTTATCACAGACAGGTTCTGTTAATGGCTACCGTAGATAGTCTGTCATGCACCGTCTCTTGCTAGGGTAAACAAGAACACTCTTACGGAAGAAGACACTAAACATACACTTTCAACTAAAATGGCCCATTCGCTTAATTTATTCGCTGTTCATGTACAGTCTTATGATCGTGACTCAACAACAGTCTTATCAGCATGTGACCGTTTTAGGGTGTAACGTTGCTTAAAGTGCCTTCACACCCACTGTCCTCAGTGTTTTTGTAGCTTTAAGCCTGTGACTTTACATTATTGCAGACCTTAGTAAACCTATTTTACCTTAGTTTGTTCGGAATTAACCATCTTTGTTATTTTAATAATCCAGTGTTTCAAGATGCGTGTATTGCTGCTTAAAGAACCAAAAGATGGAGAGTCTGGACCTGATCCCTATATTAAGGTACACGCCCTTTACAGTTAAATCAACTAACCTTTAACCAGTTTCTTAAAATTTGTCAGTTGAACAGTTATTATTTTCACTCCGAAGGAACTGGAATCACGAGGACATAAAGGAACCCTACTTCCGGTGCTGTCTTTTAAGTTTGTGTCATTAAACACTTTGACAGATAAGGTAAATTGTTGTTCCATTGTCCTTTCATTAATTCGTTCATTTTAACAGTTTGCATATTCAATGGATTTATGTATTTGTTGCTTATTCCAGCTTTTCCAACCAGAGAAATACGGTGGGCTCATATTTACCAGTCCAAGAGCAGTGGAGGCTGTAAGGATGTGTTTGGAAGAGGATGAAAGAAGGGAAGGTGATAAACATTACTTTTCTCCAAGCTTCTGTATATCATTGATATAAATGACTTTTTTTGGTAAAGATCTTAAAAATACAAGTTAAGTTTGTGTAGTACATTTCTGTAATGCCCAGTGTATGTTGTGCTTTTGAGAATGGCACAAAGCAGTGAAAAACAAATGGAACACCAAGTCCATCTATGTGGTTGGGAAGGCCACCGCTTCATTAGGTGAGTCACATCTATGGACAAAGGTAATTTCTCCCAGAATCCTCCTTTGCGTCTTGAGCTCCTTGTAAACTTGTGCTAATTGCACCAGAGTGTGTCGGGCACCTGGTGCTCATAGTGATGTGTGAAATGCTTTGTCTACCTTCAGCCATTTGTTATACACAAGTGACAGTTTGTCGTTAGTGATTGTTCTGTGTCTTTACAAAACAAGCAGGTGCAACAATTTCTACATGTGTGCTTTAGTTTCTTCTTTTCAGTAACATTTGACAGTGGGTTTTTATTTTGAGTCTCTCAGTGAGTTTCTAATTTAGTTATTGAATTAGTTGAAACGATTGAATGTGTTTTCTCTGCCACACTCTTATGTCAGTATTTAGCAGACTGTGCAAAAGTATTGAGCCACCCTCATTTCTTTGTATTTTACTTCCAAGGACTCAGACATCCTTGTAATTCTTCAAAGTGCTCTTGAGTTACTCATCCAGGCTTTCAGAAAGTCTTTCAAATTTGTCTTTTGACATTTGCTGGTTTTTCCACTTATTTTCAATCCAGGCTTTGTACTGTGCCATTTTCAGAGGAATGTGGTTTGGTTGTTAAGCCACTTAACACTGGCCTATGAATGCATCAAGTATAAAAAAATGCACCCAAGTCAAGGAATGAACAATTGTTGTGTCTACACATAGCAGATAACTTAGAAAAGACTAGACCGTAATGTCTTTTTAGTGTTTTCTGCTTTTAAAAACATCGCTGCGCCTATTTCCCATTTTCTAGCAAAATATAAATAAATGTGGGGTGGTTCAAGAATTTACCACATTACTGTAAAGCTTATCAATTTTTTTCCTTTTCATGATTTTTATCCCATACAGTACAGAATCTAGGTCTGAACCCTTTGGGAGAGGACACAGGGACAGCAGAGGTGCTATCACGACGTATTATTGAACGTACGGCGTAAATTTGGAGTCTCACATTCCTCACAGTTTAATTTTAATAGTAATTTTATGATTGCTCTTATTACTCATATGATCTCACGTATAATTCCCGTCATAGGAGAGGCCACCAATATCCCACCACTTTTTTTCCCCTGTGGCTCAATCAAAAGGGAAGTCTTGCCCACGGCTTTAAGGGAAAATGGTAAGCATTCCCCCTGTTGTGCCTGACAATTAAAAGTCAAGGTGATAAAATTTCCATTGGGATTATTCTAATTATAAAATAATAATTGCACTATCTTTATCACTGTTGGGATCTGTTTCTTTGTTTCCAGGAGTGCCCCTAGAGACATTAACTGTCTATCAAACAGCAGAGCATCCCAATCTGGAGAAAAATCTAAAGAACTATTTCAAAGAGCAGGTAAAGTGTCATTCTTATTGCTTGTATTTATTTATTTGTTTCAATATAGCAGCTGTTCATTTGTTTGTGTGCTTATAGGGCATTCCAGCAAGCATAGCTTTCTTCAGTCCATCAGGAGTGAAGTTTTGCCTTGAAGTGGTGCGGAGGCTCTCGGCTGAACAGCTGACTCAAATAAAGGTGCATCTTCCTCACAGTCATACACAGATAGATTTAAATAATGCATGAATCTGAAGTGCTTAACAGAGCTTTACTCACATAAATGTCTTTGTTTCCAGTTTGCAGCCATAGGGCCTACTACACAAGATGCAATAGCAGCAGAAGGCCTTTGTGTCAGCTGCACTGCAGAAAAGCCAACAGCTGAACACCTGGCGATAGCGATAGCTAAAACTCTGCAGTGACCAGCTTTTAAAATCCACCTGCCTCATCTTTGGTGTTTGTTGTTATTATACATGTAAATATGTACTGTTATTTGTGTATTTTACTGGTTTACTGCTCATCTTTATTGTTGTTGGACACATGATTCTGCTATTTTTGCACTGAAAGAAAAAAGTTATTTTTTGCAGCACCAGAGCCAGGAAAGTCTAAGATAAAATTATAATTAGCTTTATATGATGTAAGAAAATGACTGAGAAAATAAAAGGCAATCATTGTGATAATATTGAAGGTTTTGTCTGTGGTAATTGCTTGTGTGTGTTTGTGTGTTTATTTCCTGTTCAACACAGTGCTTGCAGGGGTCATCCCTGTCTTTTACTGTCCACATGAAAGTGAAGGTTTTAACATCTTTCCACGGATCAGCTGCAGTCCATTTAAAACCACTGAAGCTTGTATAACATAACCACAGAGAAAGAGTCAAATTGAGCAGTTGTAGATTGTAAAAGTTTACTTTTCACGCAGAGGTGAAGAAAGCAGGTTACATCTGTAGAGTCACACCTCTGAGGGGTGTGGAGAAGCAAAGGATTTGCTTATAAAGCAGCGTTGCTCCTCACTCGTCATCATCTCATCTTGCATATAGACCTGGGAGTACACCGCTAAAGGACACGATGCTGAATTTAATCCAGCTGATATTTATGTTCTTTTTGACCAACATTAGCGCAACTGATGCAGAGAAACTTTTCCATAATCGGGATCATTCTGATACACAGACACTTAATTCTCACAAAGCTCAGGCTATAACAGACAAGTACACAGCTGAGGTATATTGTTTTTTTTTCTTCTTTTTTGACTTCCTGTGTTTCTCAAACGTCAGCATCCATTTAACCAGACACAGGATTTGTCTAATGTAACCCGTGTCTTGTTTTAGTTATTTCTCTCTAGATATGGATTCATCAAGCCAGTTAACTGGGAGGAGGTTCGGTTTGAGGATTCAGACACCTCTTTCAGTGGTGACTTCCTCGACGATCTTCAAGCCACAATCCAGGAGGGAACCTCAGCGTCTTACTCGAGGGCTGCTCATCGAGCTGGTGATCAGCAGGGCTATAACCGTCAAAATGAGAACCAAGCCTTTATTTCAGCACTTAAAGAGTTTCAGAGGGTTTCAGGTCTGCCTGTTACAGGGGTGTTTGATGAGGCCACCAAGTTAGCAATGAACAAACCAAGGTGTGGAGTCCCTGATAAAGAGACTGGTCTGACCATCCCTGTCATCACTACAGCACCTCAGAGCAGTGGTGACTTTGATTTTGAAAACAGTACCACTGACAGTTTTACTGAGACCAACAGGAACAACACAGCAAGTGACATAATCAGTGGCACTTCTTTAGGTACTGCAAATTTCTCTGAAGACAACATATTAAATTTTAATGATACAGACGGTGTGTTCACAGCCATTTCCAATGACACCAGCATGAATTATACAACGGAGCTTTTAAAGATCACTTCCCTAAACAGCTCGCACGACAGCAGACCGGGCAGCCAAACGGGGAATATCAGTGCGAACGCGCATCCGAGTGAAGCAGTGAGACGCAAGAAGGAACCTCTCGCAAGTCTCATATCCAAAAGCAGGCGGAAGAGAGATTTGACTCCAACTGGCCACATGGCTTTTTCCAAGAAGGTGTTAAACTGGAGGCTGATAGGAGAAGGCTACAGCAGCCAGCTGACTATTGACGACCAGAGATACATCTTCAGACTGGCTTTCAGGATGTGGAGTGAGGTGTCGCCACTGGAATTTGTGGAGGATACACATGCCCCATTGGAGGATGTTGACATCAGGCTGGGATTTGGTACAGGTGGGTTTTAGTCAATGTTTATTTGCTTCATTGCAGCATGAAAGCTACTTTTGGCTGCTCCTTTATTCACAGGGGCCACAGCAGGTAGCTCCGCATGTCTGGTTTGGCAGAGATTTATGCCAGATGCCCTTCCTGACACAACCCCAAAAGGATTTGTGTCTTCTCCTGAGATGACACTGGGGATCTTTCACTTGTTAGGTGGATATGTAAATCACTATTTTTCTGAATAAAATGTGGAATGTTTAGATTTGATCCTTCACATCACTAGTCTGTGAAGGTTAATTTCTCATTTCAGGATAAAAAAGTTAAAGGATGTTATCTCCTTGGCCACATATATGTTTAAGACTAATAAAACATCTGTTAATGAGGCTTATTAAACACAAAAACTAAGTAAACCACCACCAGTCTTCTTAGACTGGCCCTTCTTAGGGTCATGTGTATGTATGTCTGAAGAGGATCATTAATGTTTCCACTGTACCTCCTTTTTGTGCCAAATAACATATTGCATCGTTGTGAAATTCTTTCATAGGAAGGCATCTGGGATGTAATCAGAAGTTCGATGGCACTGGTCAAGAATTTGCCCATGCTTGGTTCCTGGGTGATATACACTTTGATGATGATGAGCACTTCACAACTCCCAATGTTGGCAGTGGAATCAGCCTTCTCAAAGTAATTATATTACCGCACGATCAAAGGAACTGCCAGATTGAAATAATTCCAGTGATTAACAACGCATTGCTCTAACAACGCCTTAAAAATATTAAACCCGTTCAGGTAGCAGTTCATGAGATTGGCCATGTTTTGGGTCTACCTCACATATATAGACCCGGATCCATAATGCAGCCCAGCTATCTACCGCAGGAGTCCAGCTTTGAAATGGACTGGATGGACAGAAAAGCTATACAGCAACTCTATGGTACATGGTTACAGCACCATCTAGTGGTTACTTATACACTCTTAGAGAAATGCACTTTGCTGTATTTTTGCCCTAATTGTCTGACGCAAACCCTTTTTTTTGCCCCACCTGTTGTGCTTGCATTTGACACCAGGAGGCTGTAAAGGTCGGTTCAACACGGTGTTTGATTGGATCAGAAAGGAGAAGACACCCTATGGGGAGGTGGTGATCCGCTTTAACACCTATTTCATGAGAGATGGCTGGTACTGGCTGTATGAGAACAGAAATAATAGAACGCGTTATGGTGATCCAGTTCCGCTGCAAACTGGCTGGCATGGGATCCCAATGGATGGAGTAGATGCACATGTCCATGTCTGGTCCAGGAGAAGAGATGCTGTATATTTCTTCAGAGGTACACTAAGTGGAGAGTTATACTGTTTGAAAAGAGTTAGTGAACAAATGAATACTTGGTGAAAATGTAATTAACTTATTTATCTACAGGTACTCAGTTCTGGAGGTATGATAGTGAGAACGACCAGGTGTTTGGACAAGACTCTGAAGGCCACCATTATCCGAGGTTAATCTCTGAAGGATTCCCAGGGGTGCCAAGTCCTATTGACACAGCCTTTTATGACAGGAGGGACTCCCACATCTACTTCTTTAAAAACAATCTTGTAAGTGCAATATTACCTGGCTGTCAGATATTATTACACTAATACAAGAGCAAAGACATGAGGTTCAGTAAGAAAGTAAATTAGGAAATATTCATGAAGTGCTTAAATGACAAGCTGGAATGATGTGGTTCGATATTAAAACACACAGACCATTATACATTATACATTATTTAGACTTAAAATGTGGCTTAGGCTTAATGGTCATTAATCAAACTGTTTCCATCTGTGGTTTGCAATCTAGCAATACCGATTAGCAGAACATGCAGATATAAAAAGCAGAGTCCTGGAGAAAACCCAAGCTAATTAATTGTTTCTTAGGATTATGAGGGAATGTCTTCAAGCACACAAATGCACTAAAGTTCCTCTGTGAATTGTTTGCATTGTATAATTGAATTGATTTCTGCATAACAAAAAAAAGAGCAATTATCTCTTTGAACAGGTGTATGCATTCAGCATGGAAGCCAACAACTTGGCAAGAGGGTTCCCAAAAAACATCAGAGACATTTTCCCTCCTGTGGTGAACACAGACCATCCAGATGGCAACATTGACGCTGCCTACTTCTCCTACACTCACAATGCCATCTTTCTACTCAAGGGCATACGCTTCTGGCAAGTAGTGGGCAGTCGTGATCGCTGGCGACGGCCCTTTCTGCCACGAAATGGCCTGCTGCCACATAAGGAGGTGGATCAGCATTGGTTTGATATCTGCAATGTTCATCCCACTGCACTCAAACTAACCCGCTGAGAGTGTTGCAGCAGAGATGTGATAGAGCTTGCTAAAGTTTGCATATGTGATCTACTGATTTCGTTTTATGTACACATATTGTCAAGCTGCAATAACTGTCTAATTTCACGGAGACAACAACAATTTTGAATTTTGTTGGCTAATTTTCACCGAGGTGTGTTATTTATATATGTAACAGCTGCTCTTTCATTCCTTTTCTCTTTTTCGGAGCAGTGCTGAATGCATTCTGCCACAAAAACAATCCTAAAGGACTTCCTATTATTGAGATATTCAGAGAATACATGTATGTATAATGTAGATAAAGCCAATAAATGTTTTGCTGAGCTGCTCAAAATGATATTTGATGTGCTTACTGTAAGTGCACTGTGTAGGAAAATGCTTTCAAATGGCAAATGTGCAAAATAACATTAAAACAGGCTTGTGCGTACTGTGAAGTGACTTCTTATGTCACATGTAATCTTAAGAAAACCTCTAAGAAGATTTGTGGTATTATGAGTGTATAAAAATAGAATTTTGCTCAAAGTGGAAGAGCTGGTTTCAGGGTAAAATTACAGATTGAAAGCATCTTTCCTTTGACGTAACAATATTGAAGAAAAAAAAGACATCAGATTTGTATCCTCGGATTGTTTCTTTTTGGTACAGTATGTGCCTGGAAGGGATACAACATTATTCTCTCAACTTAGATTGATGATCGAGGTGTAGATATACAGTACTAGTCCCTATTGGCACGACTGGATGATTTGATAATTCTATATTTGTACGAAACTCTCAATTCCTGTAAATTATACTTGTAGAAATCCACATCTGCCTGTAGGCATGAAAGAAAGAACGAAAGAAGTGACCTGGAAGCCATGAAACTTCGTCTTTATTAAAAACCCTTAAAAGTTAAGAGCAACTCTTCCACTACAATAGTGTTTTTTGGCTGAGGGAATCAGATAACCCCTATCAATAACAACCTGGAGGTGGTGGAAAACAACTATCGAGACATCGTATTTTTGAATGCCCTCTCATTATGTAAGACACACTATCAATCAAAAGAGAGCCTTTTGAAATGCGCACTGAAGTAAAACGATTGAACAAGGTGCCACAATACTGTTATATTTTATAATAATGATTTGAGCATGATGCAAAGAAACAGGCATTGATTCTGTAATCAATATGTTACTTGAAGACGCTTATTAATTCAGCTCATCTTAAGAGATTAGGCTCCTGGTGGGCCCCAGATAACTAGCATTGTGCTGCAGGCGCTCTATAGGCTATATTAATAAATTAAAGTAGAAATCAATTACAAGCAAAGGAACAAAATGTTGCGGTAAGTGGCGCTACATAGAGGGTTATCATGGGATGATGAGTGTACTCACACAGCTATAGAAGGAGCTTCTCTGTCTGCTCATACCTCTGCTTGTTTTTTGAGATAATGTTTTGTTTTTTCTTGTAAGATTAAAGAGATTTCTGTGATTTAACAGGATTAGGCAACATTTTAGTGATTATTATAAACACGAACATCATATTTAAAACACAAAGTTAAAGAAAATTAGAAAATAGTATTTATTAAAATACTATATTGTAATATTAACAATCAAGAGAAATCACTTACATATACCCAGGGTATTGTTGTTTGAATAAAATCAGCTTTTATTCTGCAAATCTCAGCATAAAATATGGACACAGGAATGTTGAATTCAGTACATAAGATGATGCAGTGCAGTGCAGCCATTTGATCTGTTTGTTTATCCCATTATGAGGCACCATACACCTCCTCCATCCTGGAATTTCACATGCAGCAAAATCCTAAATACAAACTGTTATTCATGCATTCATATGGTCCCCAGCAGCTCACTGATCTGTGCTTTTGCACTGATGGTACTGCCGTTGAAACTCCCTTCCCTACACCTCGGGCCTCTTTGAATGCGACTATGATAAATGAGATCAGTCATGCTGATGAAGCTGCAGCAGCCCCAGAGAAATACAAAAACCTGTGTCGTTGCAATTCACATGGGAGGCACTTTAGAAACTGGAGAATGGGATGAAACTCCCGCAGCACATCCATATACTGAAAATCCCCAAACTCTTCCAAGACATAAAAATAACTTTGAATACTGTTGCCTTATTTATATGTCTCCAAGGGATTTTTTTTCTTAAAACATGGAAATAAATGATTTCTGGTGTTATTTCAAATGAGGATCATACAATTATGTGTTTTTGCATTTGTCAAGGGATTAGTTCAACAAGCTGTTGCGTGTAGGTTGTGTGTTGCATTTAAATGTAGAGATTTTTGTCTGTGAGTGTTTTAATGATATCCTTGCTGTCCCGTGTCTGGGGTTGAATTAATAATGAGTGCAGGAATTTTATCACTGTTAGTGTGTTCATAGAAAAATAACAAATGTCACATCTTGTTGGAGCGAATGGTAAATACAGTCTCTTTAAAAATGGGCTTTATATTAATTCACCCAAAAATCTTTCGTGTCCAATTCACCACCTTCCCTTGTAGAACAAAAGGCTCACCAAGTTGTAGCCTGATTAGAAAAAATAATGATAAAGTATTGATTGCTGTCATGGACCTTTTGAGCTTTTGTATAGTATTTTCTTATGGGTTTTTTGTTTGTTTGTTTGTTTTCCATTGGGGGGGAGGGGGGTAAGTTTAAGCTTCTTTATTCTTACTTTTGAAATGCAGTTTCATTTTACCTTTTGAGTTTCCCTGTTTTGTGTGTCTTACCTTCTGTTTTACATCCTGTATCATTATTTATGGATTTACTTCACCTGCCTCTTCTTCCCCAGCTGTTTCCATTCTCCCTTATTACCCTTAAGTGTATTCATAGCCCTGCCCTTCCCTTCAATCCTTTGTCAGAGTGTCTGTTTACCTTCTGTTGTGTGTGCGCTTTGTGCCTTCTTTGGGATCTATGCCCTTTAGTCTTATCTGCTTAACCTTACAGTACCTAATACCTTTGGATGATAGCTCAGTACTAACTGAGTATTTTGCTCAAGTACAGGTTTAATCTGCTTAATCTATTTATTCTACTATTATTATTTATTTGAAAACTTGTATTTCTTATTATTTTGCAGATTAATCATATTATTATCAATTAATCTATCAAGCAACATCTCAGGAATTAAAACTGAAAACAGCTGAAATATGAAATAGATAAATGCACATCAGTGATTTTTTATTTACCAGTAACTATGATCCATTGATCCAAAATAATTTAGGTTTTATTAATCTGGAAAAAAAAACCTCAATTGTATATTATAAATATAATTTGGGGACTTTTAAGCGGTGCACAACAGTTAAGCTGCTTAAGTATGATAATAATTATTACTTAATTAAAAGGTCTAAACACTGTTTAAACCAATTATCCGACACAAAGGGAGATTTCCGGAGTCACTTTTCACATAGCAAATCTGTAATAAGACAATCATCAGAAAATCATAGGCAATCATTTTTATGCTAGTTTTCTTCACTGATTTTATTTGTGATCAAATCTTCGAATTTCCCGGTGTCTTGACATCAAATAGCTCAAGCATTGTGTGACAGCAATCAAATCAAAGACAAAGGCAATGCAATGTGCAAAGGCTCCACACCTATTCATTTCCGGGCAGGTTTTCTTTTATTAATCTGTTCTCAAAGTCAAGGCGACGCTCCACAGGATACATACAAAAGCGGAATTGTGCTCCTTATCATAAGTACACTGCTATGATTGATTGAGGGCTCTTATGGTAGTTTGAATAGGTTTTTTACAGCTATTATCATGCAAATATTAAAAAAAAAAAACACAACAACTTTCAGAATAAAATATGAAGCTATTAATTCTTCTTATTCTAAACAGCAAATGCAATAAGAGCAAGAAGTCAATCTCCTGATAATAATAAATTTGCTCTGAGGTATTTACATTCCCATCCTTCCAATTACTTATGCATCTACGCCAGCATTTAATCTTTGTCAAACTGTTCTGCACCTTCGGCAGCCTATAGCTTAGCACCTCCCTCTATGAAGTGAAGTCTGGTGTAAATGCTCTGTTAAAATGTTAATCTAGTAACATTATATTGTGCCTTGAAGCAGTTAAACTTATCTTCCAAAGTTGCAAAAAAGAGCCCAGCAGAGGGCAACCTCAACACACAGTGCACTGTTGTCAGCATCCATATGAAGTTTTTTGAGGCATCTTTGTGGGTTTTACTGGTAGCGGATGCATGTCTCTGTTGCATTTCTTTCACTCCTTGAATATGTCAGATATATTTTAACAGCAGAAAAAGAAAAGATAGGATTTATTCCACGTTCTGCAAATGTCCCCCCCACCCCTTGTCAGCAACCTACTGTGGAAATTTTGACGTGCGTGGGGCGAGAGTGCATCCTGAAATGACAGTTTATGGAAATACAGTTTACCTGGTGTACACACACTCTGTGCTATGTTTAAAAAGGGAATTTGTAGTTTCTGCCAAAGATTTCCGACGCCACGTTGAGGTGGAGTGCGGATCAGCATTTATTCTGCAGTAATAAGCGTGGAATTCAGACTTTCCTGAAAAGCGGATTTTCAGTTGAAAGTTGTTTTGAGCATTAACTCTGAGTGGCATCGTTAACAAGGCTCTGGTGTGTTTACAGTAGTTCAAAAAAATCAAGCACTCGGCAAGAGACAAACTACACACAGGAATGCACGGCGATGCTCACAAACATTGACTTTGCAAATGCATACACATGTACACCCCCATTACAATTAAAACGTACAAACTCATACACACACAGATGTCCTCGTACACGTCTCTCTTCCTCCCGTCCATCCTTTCTGCTTCTCTTCTTGCCCCCAGATGAAGAAGTTTGGCTCAAAAGAGAAAAATACTGACTGAATCCTTTGCGACTGCTTCTCAATTTCAAATTTAAATCATTATTTCAAAGGTTTTATCATCAAATAGTTTGGCGCAAAGTGCTCCTCGCTAAGGATCTTTAATGTAGTAGAAAGGTAAATATGATGTTGAATTCATAAACCCAAGCCTTCATGCTCTCATTATAC